GGAAAAGACATTTGGAACAATTGTAATTTGTTGGTTGTTGGCTTTCAAGGGATTCAGCGGAGGTTCGTTCAGCAAGACTTGTGTCCTCACTTACACCTCCTACAAAAACTCCTTCCCGCTCTGGGCCATTGGACGCTTCTTGAGGTGCTATCCGAACAGTCCACTGGCTGGGAAGCTGAAGCTGTGACAAATTAATGACATCAGCTGCCACTAAGATTTTACGTAAACAACTGAGATTCTGATTTAACCTCCTAAGACCCGAACTCTGGCATGACATGCATTACTAATTCCTATGAGCTTTGATACGTTCCGAATATCACTCTTGCATAAGTCTTCTGCCAGGACTTCATGAAAAAAAGCTGTGAAGATTTGTTGTCTTATAGTGTGAAATAAAATAATTGTGTCCATGTTACCTTATATTCTTTGTCCATGAAGTAAACTTGCTGTCTGACTTTTTGTAATCTGATTGGGCGAACATGCAACATATTCAGATTTCTTGCTTAATTTGATGCAGAGCTCAAGTTGTCAGAAAAAAATTAATTAGAAAATAAAAGTTTGTTTGATTTTTGTGTGTGATTTTCTTCTTCACACTGCTTTTGCATTTCATTTTATTGTTGATAATAAACCACTATTATATATACACAAAATACAATACAATACAACTTTATTTATAAAGCACTTTAAAACAACACCGTTGGCCAAAGTGCTGTACACTAACACATACAGGCATAAAAACTATGAACTCAACAAATACCATAAAAGTAATGAATTACCAAATCATAAAGCAGCAAACAGTAACAACAATAAAACAAATAATATAAAACAGTAAAGCCAACATTTCAAGCTGCGTTTAAAGCCAAAGAGAAAAAATGAGTCTTCAGAGCAGATTTAAAAGCAGGAAGTGAGTCAGCTTGTCTGACGTGCACAGGCAGCTCGTTCCACAGTTTAGGGACAGCGACTGAGAACGCTCGGTCACCTCTCAGCCTCTCGATGGACTTTGGGACGGCCAACAGCAGCTGATCTGCTGACCTGAGAGAGCGTGAGGGATTGTACGGCTGGAGAAGGTCAGACAGATACCGTGGGGCGAGACCATGAAGACATTTGAATACAAGCAAAAGAACCTTAAAATTAATCTGGAAACGAACTGGGAGCCAGTGTAGTGATTTTAGGACAGGGGTGATGTGCTCTCGTTTTCTGGTACCAGTTAAAAGATGAGCAACAGCATTCTGAACCAGCTGAAGTCGAGTCAGCAATGACTGGCTCAGACCCACATAAAGCGAATTGTAATAGTCCAGACGAGTTGTAATGAAAGCATGGATTAAAATCTCAAAATGATGTGACAGAAATGGTTTCACCATGGCCAGTTGTCTCAGGTGATAAAAGCTGGACTTGACCACAGATTTAATCTGAGCATCCAGTTTAAAATCATTGTCCAGCCTTACACCCAGGTTGCTTGCTGTCTCAGTCAGATGTTTGTTTAAAGGACCTAGATCAACGTGGACTTTGGAACCATCACTGGGCTTAAACAACAAGACCTCCATTTTTTTCTCATTAAAGTGTAAAAAGTTCTGTGAATTCCATGCTCTGACTTCCGCCATATATTCCAGGAGTTGGTTCAAGGCGTACTGTTTATCTTGTTTCAAAGGGATATAGATTTGGCTGTCATCGGCGTAAAAATGAAAAGAAATACCTTGTTTCCGGAGAATATATCCCAGAGGTAGTAAATAAAGGGAAAACAGAAGGAGGCCAAGTACAGATCCCTGAGGTACTCTACATGTGAGAGGTGCTACAGAGGACTCCACAGAATCAAAGCGTGCACAAAAGCTTCTCTCAGTTAAATAGGATCTAAACCACTGTAGAGCAGGACCCTGAATGCCCACCCAGTTCTCCAGACGAGACAGGAGGATCTGATGGTCCACTGTGTCGAAGGCAGCAGTTAGGTCCAGCAGCATCAAAACTACACAGTGACCAGAGTCTGTGGCTAAGAGAATGTCGTTAAAAACTTTCAACAGTGCCGACTCAGTACCGTGGTGAGTTTTAAAACAGGATTGAAACAGTTCAAGAAGGTTGTGGTCGTTTAAGTAAGATGTTAACTGACTGTAAACTATTTTCTCCAAGATCTTCAACACAAGGGGCAGTTTAGAAATAGGCCTAAAATTGGACATGTCTGTGGAATCAAGACCGGGTTTTTTAATCAGTGGTGTCACCACTGCATGTTTAAAACTCGCAGGTACCTGTCCACTTGCCAAGCTGCCATTTATGATTTGGGACACAAAAGGAGCCACCGTGTGAAAAACCTCTTTAAAAAGACGAGGTGGATGTGAAAGCATTGATTAGTCTCTTTAGAATGATTTGATCAATTAGCTTTGTAGAGATGTAGTTGAGTGCTGTTTGAATGGGTAAATGAGGGCACAGAGTGAAAAGCGCTTTGAGTAACTTGATAAGATAAAAAGGCGCTATTTAAGTACAGTCTATTTACACATATGTGGAATGTACATCATCAGCAGTTCAGGATTTAAGCCTCTTCCCAAAGATCTACCCTTATCATCGAGCTGAGGAGATAAGATGCTCAACAAAAAACGGTTTGCTGGTGGAGCGTCAACAAATCAATCAAGTAACCAGCGACTATGAAGCGCACCTTTCAATAATGAGTTGAAAAAGCTTCTAAAATGAGAAGAAGAAGAAGAAACGTCTAAACAAAGAATGTACAGTTGCCTATCCATTTATTAGGAACGTGTAGATTACCACAGAGAACATTTTGATCTATCACTGAGTTCTCCATATTTTGCTTTCAAGGAGATGTTTTTTATAATTTTGTGGTCATCATGAGGATAACAGTTTTCACCCGTTTTTCACTTTTTACTCAAACTTCGGGTCTTAAAATAGGGTCGAAGTGGCCAAACATATCAAATTACATTATTTATTTAAGACAAAATAAATGCAACTGCTGAAACACATTTCTATCTGCTTCCATACCATGAATTGAAGAGATTAAAAGTTGTTTCCAAATATCTGGAGTTCATTAGTTTACAAAAAGGAGGGGGAAACATTTTTGACATTCCAGCAAATTCCCTTCAAATGTTTTATCTGAAGGAAGCACAAAACAAAGAACAAGGAGAAAAAAAACATGCAGAATTTCTGCTTTGGCTCTGGCTATGTACTGGATCCAAAAAAAAAAAAAAAAAACTGAAGGAGGATGGACTTACTTTATCCAATTGAAAACATGTTAATTGCAGGAAGCAATTACTTTTAGTAAAGTGACAACCAGGTTCACATTTGGTCTCTCAAAGTTGAGTTTCAGTTAAACATTCTATGAGCTCATGTCAGCTCTGGTGCTTTTTATGTAAAGAACCATGGCATCACCAAGTTAGCCTTAAAGAAATATTCATGAACTTTGACAAAAAAAAGTAAATTACTCTTCTAATTAAAGAATACATAAAGGATGTGACAGAGAGTCTTGTCTAAAAGAGCCAAAGATACAATGTCACCTTGCTGAAGTTTAGGAATAAATTAACTTCTTCAGCTCCACTCTGAGAGCAGGCCTGGAGTTCTGCAGACGGGTGCAGAGACCTGATGGATCCTGGGAAGGGTGAGCATGGACTTATTTTACCACCTGATAACTAACTAGCGAGTCTCACTCAGTCTGGTTCTGCTTGTCCTCAGGTCCTGGGGAGTGTCCTTCTCAAGACTTTACCTGGGCAGTCCTCTGGCTGGGAAGCTGAAGCTGTGATGAACAGTGTTCATCAGCTACCTCTTGGTTATTAAATAAATTCTTTAGTCTGTCACATAAAGAGTGAACCACAAATAAATAGGCTTTGTTTTAACAATTGAATCTATCAGAAAAATCTGTAAAATATATTTTAATTACTACGACTCACAGTAGCTTAAAATCATGTCCTTGTCCGTTAACCAGACTCGCTATCTGGATATTCTTCTGTTTTGTGGACCTAATAAAAACACAGTTGGTATATTCTTTATAGGCTTCTTGTGCTTTCCTTTGCATCGCACAAGAGAAGCAACAAGTACAAATTCAGCTCAAAACAGATCCAGATTCAAATCGAATTACAATTCAATTCAGTTTATTTATACAGCGCCATGTGACAAGAGAAGTTGTCTCAGGGCACTGTACAAAAAAATTCACTATCAGAGCCGATTAGGAAAAGTAATCTATCTAAGGAAGCCAGAAGATTGTGTTGAATCCTCACTTCATCACAGTCTCCCATCCTGAACAAGCACAAATGAGACATTGGAAAGGAAAAACTCCCTTTAGCTTTATGTGTTAGACGTATAAATTTGACAGGGAACCAATGGAGAGAAGCTTCAACTGGAGAAATATGATCTCTTCTTCTAACTCTCATTAAAACTCTGGCCACAGTGTTTTGGATGAGGTCACATAAATGCCTTCCAGAAGAAGTAAAAACTGGTAAAGAGTTTTTACTACGATGCTCAGGTCCAAAAACCACAACCTCAGTCTTATCTGGTCTTAGGTTTCAACGTTTGTTTTTTTATTCCTGCATGTCCACAAGGAGGTCATTCAGCGTGCGTCTGAGAATATTGTAATCTATGTTTACCTACATTCTTGTTTTTTCTTCATCAGTTTTTTGTGCTGATTCCTGTTCAAAGTAGGAATTTTTAATCTGAAATCATCTAAATGTTGTCGCAAATAGCAGAAGGCTGGACAAATCATCAGGGACAAACCAAACCTGCTTTTCTACAATTTCCTCAAAAATGTACCAGAAACTTTTGGGGAACTTTTGACAAGAAGCTGAATAAGAATAATATGAAAAAGATGTATGAGAATAAGAATGTGAGGAATACAGATAATAAGATTAAGAATAGTAAGAATTAGAATCAGAATCAAGTTTTATGGACCGCGTGTGCTCGCACATACAAGGATCTTAGTTTTGGTTACAGTAGCTCATAGTGTGCACAACACTTGATTGTTCATCCCCACTCAAACCCCACCCATTCTCCCCTCAAGCAGATTGTGATTGGGTAGTCGGTTTGACACAGCAAGGACCTTTAAAAATGTGGTTCAGATCATTTAAAAAAGTACAAACTGTGAAGAGCATTGCTTGCATTGTTCAGGAAAGTCCAGTTCTGGATCTATTAGACAGCAATGACTGAGGGAACGTGAGTGTTTTCCATTTTATTGTTCTAAATAAAACTCTTGCCTTTATAGATTGAGAAATTAATATATAAAAACAGGTCCAAGACTCTCACTGCGAGTAGACCACATTAGGACAGCTTCATATTAGAGTAAAAATCCTTCATTTTTATATTTTACTACATTGTTGACATGTAAAATCCCCAGGTTTCCAATTTAAAATGAAATTTAGATCATTCAAATGTAATCCTACATATTTTAAAGACTCTAGAATATTTGGAAGGTTTGAACCCAGGTTGTTGTGTGTGGCAGCTTTAATTCAAGTGATGAAAAAAATTACTTTTTGTCATCTGGATGTTTTAAAATCAAGTCCTGATCTAAAACCACAACAACAGGTCAAATCTGAACTAAAACACTGTGGACAGCAAATAATGTTTTATTGGTTCATATTGTTAATAAATAATAATTAAAATAATATTAATAAAGATATTAATTCAGATCCAAAGTGTTGAATTTTTTATGAAGTTTAAAAAGTGCATAAGAACCTGGAATGTGAGACTTTTCTGAACGTTTGTAAAGGGGATGTAGCAGGCTGCAAAGAAACTGATTACCGGTAACTCAAAAAGTTTGGATAAGATAATCGGAGCTAATTAAGAAAAGGTATCTTAGGTTCCAAACTCCTATTAGTAAGGCCATGCAATCGGTTAGTGGTAAAGCCAACTGGCAAGTCTTTACTGTTGTAAAAATCTTGAAGTTTGTGTCATATTTGCAGGTTTTTTGGGATGTCATGACCAAACAGGATCACAAATGTGCAGCCTATTTTTCCAACAAATAAAAATACACACTAAAGTTGGCCAACTTTCAGAAACTGAGATAAGGAACACGGCAGCACGGTGGCGCAACTGGTAGAGCTGCTGCCTCTCAGCGAGCAGGTCCCTGGTTCAAACCCCGGTCCAGGGGCCTTTCTGGGTGGAGTTTGCATGTTCTCTCCGTGCATGCGTGGGTTTTCTCCGGGTACTCCGGTTTCCTCCCACAGTCCAAAAACATGCATGTTAGGCTGATTGGTAACTCTAAATTGTCCCTAGGTGTGAGTGAGAGAGTGAATGGTTGTTTGTCTCGTTTGTCTCTGTGTGGCCCTGTGATGGACTTGCGACCCGTCCAGGGTGTACCCCGCCCCTCGCACAGTGATTGCTGGACATGGGCACCAGCGACCCCCGTGACCCAAAATGGAATAAGCGGGTAAAGAAAATGGATGGATGGAGATAAGGAACACTGAGTGGACTGGGCGTCACAGAAGGAGGGGGGAATTTTTGTCTGAACATTACTCAGCAGTTAGATGCCGTTTCTGCTAAAATTGATGTCTCCAAGGAAAATGCAACAAATATTTACCAAGCAAACATGCAGGCCTATTTTAAGTTAGAAAAAATAACAGAAATTGTAGTTTTTCTACTTTTAGTGAGCATTTTGCTGCTTTCAGCTAGTCTTTTTCTCCTTTTAGCTAGCATTTTGTCTAGATGGCAGCACAAATGATTAGTGGTTAGCACTGTTGCCTCACAGCAAGAAGGTCCTGGGTTCAATCCCTGGTTCTATGTGGAAGTTGCATGTTTTCATGTTTACATGGGTTTTCTCCTGTACACTGGTTTCCTCCCAGAGCCCTGTAGGTTAAAAACCTTAAGCTACTTTCAGGCCTCCCTTGCAAAAGAGATCTGTGATCTCAATGGAATTTGACTGAGTAAATAAAAAGGTTAATACATTTTGTTACACAGTGCTTACTTTTTTGTTCCTTTCAGCTTTTATTTGGTTTGTTTTTCCTTTTTGCAAGCTTTTTGCTAATTTCATTTAGCATTTTGAAACATTTATCAAGCCTTTAGCTCCTTGTAGCTAACATTTTGTTACATTTGGCTCACCTTTTGCTTCTTTTAGCTTTTAGCTAGTGTTTTGCTCCTTGAAAGTAGCATTTTCTCTACATTTAACTATACTTTTGTTTTTTAGCAAGCCATTTTTTACTGTCAGTTTGCCTTTTGTTATTTTTATATTTTAGCTAGTATTTTCAGCTTTAAAGTAGCATTTTGCCACATTTTGGTTCAATTTGTTCCTTTTGTCTCTTAGTGTTTTGCTCCTCATAGCTTCCAGCTAGTGTTCTACTTAATTTAGCTTTCACAACTTTGTTTCGTCCTCTTCAGCAAATTTCAGCAGATACTCATTCACTCTGTATTTTTCTAGAAAATACAATTTTCTAGTATTTGTGTGAAATTTACTCTTTGAAAGAATTTTGTCCAATTTAACAGACAGAAACAGATTAAACAAAACCAAAGAATATTTCTATGTTCAACATCTTTCCCTGCAGAATAAACAGGATTCTCCAGCTCTGACTAGATAAAATCTCTGTTTTTACCATTTTTGTTCATCTTCTGTTAACAGATTTACATTAACTTAAAAAATTAACAAAAGAACCAAAACACACACTGTCAATTTAATAAGGAACACATCTTTTTTGTTTTAAATACAAGACAATTTTAAGGGATACAGTATGTGGCAACTATAACGTATTTTCTCCAGAAAATCTGCAATTTGTTTAATGGTGATTTATTTTTGTTTCAGACACGTGTGGAGACGAGGTGGACCTTCAAAAACAGAACCAGCTACAGACCTGAGCCGCTGGAGGCTGACCTCTGTGGAGGGCAGGCAGATCTGGGACTATGTGGAGGATCAGGACACCCCTGACAGAGAACAGACCATGCTGGAAGCTCATTCTCTGGGCTTGGACACTGTAGGCTTTCAACAGTTTTCTGCTGTAAAAATTTAGTTGCAAAAGAACTTTTAAAAAATAGCAACATGATTCTTTCTTCGCTGAGTTTCCCGTCATGGTTTTGATTTTAATTCTCAGTAGTGTCCAAAGGTTTTGATCAGTATCTATTTTACGTCCAAACATTTAAGAGATTTTGAAATACCTTTAGAAAGCTAGCATGTCTATTGCCTAAGACCACTCATAATGACTGTTTGATTTCTAATTCAACAGAGTAAGTTTGTGCCAGACTCCCCAGCTGCCCAGACTGCGTTGGATGCTGTTATGAAAGGTATGAACTTCTTCAGTCAACTCCAGGTAGAAGATGGTCACTGGCCTATGGAATACGGCAGAATCCTGTTTGTGCTTCCTGGTAAATCTATGTGGTTTCTTGTGTCCGACATAATCGTACAAAGCATTCAGATTTGTTTCATCGTCTCAGGAGGATTCAAACAGGCCTTCACCACTGATGCACTATAACCAAGGTAATCATATAATTCCCAAAGGTGACCCTAAGTCATACCCTAGGGCTCCTTACACCATGCTGCCAGGAGTAATACTGGCGTGGCTTTCCACAACACTGACAGGAGCAGTCCTCTTCCCATAGTGCTGACAGACATGATGGTCATTGGTGGTAATAACTGTCATTTGCAACGTTTACAACTTCCTGGATATCTTGCATAACAATTATAAATCCATCGTTTTAGGTTAAACAAAGTGTTGTAAGCTCAGTTATCCAGGTAGATAACAACAAACAAGGTTAAATCATGTCATCTGGACCAGTTTCTTTGAGAAACATTTCATTCCCCATTCAGAGGACTTAGTCAGTCTGTGGCCTACCAACCAGACCTGTTCCATAGGTAGCCTTCATTGCTGTGTTTCAAGCCAACCTCCTGCAATACCTCCTTTGTAGGTAACCAGTTTTGAGAACAATAAATAAGGATAGAACTCAGCGTCTCTTCACAGACTGTGGCCTGCCTGTCAAAAAGTCCAAAACCCAGTTGAACATTGACATTTTCAGGCCCAGCAGTAGTAGTTGATTGCCAAGTGTCTGTGGAATGGGGTTCCATGTGGAACTGCAATCCGGAGAAAGTTCTGAAATAAGTTCCTTGCCTCCAGGTGGCTGAGAGTATGGTGAATGACATCTGGCACTGCATCAAACATAGAGGGGTTATTCCTGTATGCACATAGGTTCCATAGTACGGTCAACTGAGTCACTGATGTCAACATAAACCAGACATTCCAGGCATTTCATGACTATAGAGGTGAGAGCCTCTAGACGAAGGTCATTCCATTTATTTTGCAAACAATTATTTTGAGATTGGGACAACCAAATCGCTTAAATCAGAAAGGCCTTGGGTCAGAGAAATGTTAAAATTGTCTGTCAGCATCCCCGTGAGTTCCTGAGCACATGCTAGAGCCAGACCGGGTCTGGACAAGCTTCTTTTGCTGGATTTATCTTTTGCAAGGTATTCCTGACACCTGTAACTATAGTGTATTTTGAAATATCATGAGTCATACAGAACATGTATATTTTAAAAAGCACAAATTGTCTACTTGCAGTGCCTCCAATACAGCTTTACATCATTTTTAACTATTCTTTTTTTTTTTGGAAAAGTTAATAGAGGATGAATATAACAACTTCTCTTTGTAAAAAAATTTTAAAAAATGTATTTTTGTGGATGTTTGTACTTCCTAGATTTTCTTATTGTATGTCATGTAACAAAAATTCAACTGCCTGAGATCTGGAAGAAGGAGATGTTGCGGTACCTTCGCTCTACTCAGCTGCCTGATGGAGGCTGGGGCCTGTAAGTCAGCTATTATTGTCACCTTCTGATATCTGGTGACTGATACTCCTTCACTCTACGACAATTTCATGATTTTAAGACACCCATAACAAGAGTAGCAGGCATACTGTTTCAGCTAACAGACATACATATTTTATTCCAACCATCACAAACTTATGCAAAAACAGTATCCCTCACTTTTTGACAGTGAGTAAAAAAAGTCTCCCTTATGGGGGAATATTAATCACAGCAAGAGTTTGTGTGTCCTTCACAGACACGTTGAAGACAAGTCTACTGTGTTTGGGACAGCACTGAACTACATCGCAATGAGGATACTGGGAATGGATCCTAATGACCCGGATATGGTTCATGCTCGGAACAACCTACACAGCAAAGGTCAGACAATCCCAGCAATATAATGGTCTCATTTTCCTGCCCATAGAAACTTGAAAAACTAGTGGCAAACTATATTGTATGAAGTTGTATTTCCCTGTACAAGCTGTGCTTTAACAGCCATTTTCTAAAGCTTTATGTGCATGATGATGAACATACATTTAGCACTATAACCTTTGTAATTAAAGTTTGTGCTCTATTTGTTTTAGGTGGTGCAGTTGGGATTCCATCTTGGGGTAAATTCTTGCTCGCTGTTTTAAATGTCTACAGCTGGGACGGAATGAATGCATTACTACCAGAGGTATGGTAAGTTCTAACAGCCTTCAACTTTCTTTACAACCTGATGGTCAGATATGATACACAGCAAAGGTCTTAATTCTCATCAACAAATAATAATAATAATTCCACTAAAAAGAGCTCTCCTAAATGCAACAAATGGGAGCCTGATGCAGACAGAGTCAGAATGAATCAATAAAATAGATTTATTTCAACCAACCGCTGAAAGTTTGCCCTGGCAAGCGTTGATTGTGACAAAAGGGTGGCATCAATGTTCAAAGGAAAGTTTTAAAGACAGTGGTGAGACCAGCTATGTTGTATGGTTTGGAGAGAGAGACATTAACAAAAAGAATGGAGACAGAACTGGAAGTGGCAGAAATTAAGATGTTGAGGTTCTCCTTGGGAGTGACAAGGATGGAGATAATTTCAAATGACTCATTCTGCTGTTTTGTACCTCTGATTATCTGATTCTGAAGGAGATCATCAGAGGTACAGCACAGGATGAAGGACTGGAAAATAAAGTTAGATGCCAGACTGAGATGCAGTGGTGGGCACAGCCAACCAAAAAGTTAGCTTGGTAAATCGTTGATCCGCCAACTCAAAAATTAGCTTTGCTAACATTAAACAGGCAAAACCATTAGAGGAAGCCAACGCTAAAAGATTAAAAAAAATTATCAGAATTTAACGCTAAAGAGCTAACTTTTATCATACACTGCTGTCGCTGACACTAAGACTGCCTGTAATGTAATGGCAGCACGACGGCTCAGTGGTTAGCACTGTTGCCTCTCATCAAGAAGATCCTTGGTTCAATCCCCCGTTGGACCTGGGGTCTTTCTGTGTGGAGTTTGCACGTTCTTCTCGTGCTTGCGTGGGTTTTCTCTGGGTACTCCGGTTTCCTTCCACAGACCAAAAACATGCATTTTAGGTTGCCTTCAGTTCCCAGGCCTCCCTTGCAAAAGAGATGTGTGATCTCAATGGGACTGCTTGGTTAAAGGTTAATAAAAAATTAAATAATGTGCAATGTTTTAAGTGAACACAACTCAAAATTGTTCATAAATCACAAGTAAAAAGAACCATGTCCTGCTGAGAGTTGAGCTTTCAGAAATTAATCTGGTCTGTTGGAATCAAATAGGCGGAGCAGAACTCTGTTGTGCTGAAGTAGAATGATGCATTCAGTATCAAACGTCTCCCTCGTGTCATTTACTATACTATAATGAACTAAATCACTTTGGTGATCCTCTGTGGTTAACTACTTTCATAAACTAACTACAAAGCTGCTGCGTCATCATCAATATTCTCTTGGTAATAAATTTGTTTGTTGTTCAATCCCATGAGCAGGCGGTCACAATTAATTCCATCAGTTCATCAGTTGAGACAGAGCTCCCAGTTCTGCTGGAGAGAGAAAAAGTGAGCGTCACTACAGCAGGAGAGCGCATAGCGCTTAGACTTGCGTTTCTGCTAATTTAGTTCTCATAATTAAAAATTATTAACACTAAAAGACTAATATTTGTATGCCGCAGATTAAAGCAAAGATGTGTGAAATGGGTGAGTGTCACGGCCCAGACTTTGTGAGCTGTAAAGCATGCTGGGTAGGAATTGTGTGTGCAAAGTTTCTGACTGTTTAATATGTTTCAAAGTCAAAAAAGTCAAAGTTTCTTTATTTGTCATACGCACCACATGTGGTACATGTGATGGAATGAAATTGTGTACACAGGGTCCCAGTTACATCCAACAAAAATATAAAATGTAAAACAAAAACAGTAATAAGAACTAAGATATGAACTATATATATATATATATATATATATATATATATATATATATATATATATATATATACATAATATAAACGTTAAACTAAAAATATGCTAAGCACTAGTAGTACCAAAATAATGTGCCTAACAACAACACGAACATGAGTCTGTGAGTCTCTGAGTGAGTTTCTGAGTGTGGAATTTTTTTAATGTTAATATCCTGTTCAGGTTTGGGTTGGCATTTATGTTAAAGTCTCTGTTATTGGCTGAAAACTGACACAATGAGTCAGAGTTTGTTCCCAGTATGT